AGTGAGTGGGGATAACCAGACCGCAAGCCCCGCCCTCCTGTCCATGCCAACTTATAGCAACTTGATAGGACGCTACCGGTAGAACTGCGCCCGTGGGGTTTTCCAAGACTTTAGGTCTTGGCAGGTGCAGAGAGCCCCCTCTTTCTCCCCTGGATAAACGGCTGGTGGTTTCAAACGCCAGACCTTGCAGTGAGTAACCCCGTCCATAACCCATGACACCACCAGAACTCCTCGCTAGCGGGGGCCACAGTGGCCCCCAAACAGTCACTCGCCCCACATGTGAGGGGAGAGGCAGGAGCCGGGCCACCGTCCTGTCCACACGGCCCTGCTGCTGTGTCAGGACGGCTCCCACAAGAGGGAGGTGGCTTTTCAGCTCACAGAAGTCGAGGTGAGAGGTCCGGGCCAGCACAGCGCCCAGGCCCTTCCTTTCTCCTTGTTCAGCCATCTACTCCATGGTCCCAGGTGACTGCTCCAGCCCCTGCTGGCCAGCACCACCCTGGCCCGCCAGCAAAGCCAAGGCTGGAGGGGAAGGGAGGGCACAGTTCTTGGGGGTCAGGATGTGAGTGAACCCCTGAGTCCCAGGAGGCTGCAGGGGGAGAGACTCAGTGCTTCTGGACACACAGCTCACGACCCCACAAACACCCTGCGGTCACCGCTGCTTCTGGAGCGCAGGCCAGGCCTTGGGGACTGGAAGTGACCCACGTGGCCTTTGCACGGAGACCTCCAGGGGCAGTTGAATTCTCACCTGCCTGGCAGGAGACCCAGGGCACCCCCGCCCCTGCCGCAGCCCCCAGCCACTGTCCGTGGAAACCTGCAAGACTGGGCCCAGGCAGCCCGTGTCCCAGTAGCAGCTCCTGGGCTCTTCTTGGCTCGCGGTTCCATCTGCAACCAGTTGGGGGGCAACAGGGGCCACTGTGCACATGGCACTGTGCTCAGGGGCCTGACTCGGGAGCCGTAGCAGCAGTATCAGGGCAGGACCACCGATGGATACGGCCTTCATCCCAGGAGGCCGTGTGTGTCTGTGCCTGTGTGGAGACACCCCCCACCCCCACCCCCGTGCCCTTTTCCTCATCAGGCCCCTCCCCTCTGTCCACCTCAGACATCATCCACAAGTTCATCCGGGACAAGTACTCCAAGCGGTTCCCCGAACTGGAGTCCCTGGTGCCCAACGCCCTGGACTACATCCGCACGGTGAAGGTGAGGGGGGAGGGCGGGGGGCCGCGAGCCACCTGGGGGCCGCCCTTACCCACGTGCTGAGGACCCCTGAGGACCCCACTTGACTGGGGCCCACGGCAGCCCGGGTGGGTCGAAAGACAGCTGCGCCGCTCCCACAGCAGGTCAGGGCTCCGAACTGAGTGAGGGGGTTGTGCCCCGGCCCCAAGGCGGATCCCACTGTGGGCGCAGCTGCATCCGTCCATGACTGCCAGACCGCTGGGGATCACAGCCCGGCCAAGTGGACTCACCCTTTGTGGAGAGACAGTTCAGTCCAAGACAGGACCGCCCGGGTTTGGAATGGTAGACACCTCAAGCTGCCTTAAGTGCTGCCGCGTGAGCGGCTCCAGACAACAGAAGGGGTCCCCTAGGAGCCCCCGAGCCCGAATGTCCACCTCGGGCTCAGCCGGGTCGATTCTTCGGTCATGCTTGGCTGCTGCTGGTCCTTGGCTCTGGGGTTGCTTCCTGGCCTGTCCTACAGGACTCGGACCGCCAGGGGACGGCTGGTGGTTGTGTTGTGTGAACTTGCCCTCCTCTTTGGGTCACGGTTTACAGAGCCCGCTCACTCCCCGATCCACCGCTCCTACACGGTTTGTTTTTCGACAAGCCTGCACGCCCCACAGGGTGACAGCCCTCTCCTTCCTCCCCGGGCTCCCCTGTCCACGGGTCCACCCTGCCTGTCATAGGAGCCCTGGGGGCATAGTGCTCACATGTGGGGCTACAAGAAGTGCCGCAAGGCCAGCAGTTCGAAACCACCAGCCGCTCCGAGGGAGAAAGAGGGGACTGTCTACTCCCGTAAAGAGCGACAGGCCTGGAAGTCCACAGGGGCAGTTGTGCCCCGTCCTGTAGGGCCGCACTGGGTGGGCATCGATGCAATGGCCGTGAGCTTCCGTGCCTGCCAGTCTTGGCGTCTGGGGCAGATGCTGCTGCCAGTGGTTTGGTGTGGCTGGTGGCTCCTCATGGGTGTGAGTGTTCGCTGAGTGGACTGGTGGGAGAGCCTGGGGAGGAGTCAGGTGGGAGGGCGGAAGGTGTCCCTGTGTGCCCCCCCAGCCCACCTCCTGCCTTCTCGCCTTCCACCGGCTAGGAGCTGGGCAACAGCCTGGACAAGTGCAAGAACAACGAGAACCTGCAGCAGATCCTGACCAACGCCACCATCATGGTCGTCAGCGTCACCGCCTCCACCACCCAGGGGTGCGTGCACAGCAGGGAGCAGCTCCCAGGCCGGCTGCTCACCCCCTATCCGGCGAAGAGGACCTCAGGGTCCTAGTGGCAGGGAGGGGGCAGGCCCTAGGTGACCCACATGCCTGTCCCGGGCACAGGGCCAGTCACAGCCGTGTGTAGGTGGAGTTCACACACTCACACGGCCAGCTGCCCACTCACATGCAGGTGCGTGCACACACGTGGGCAGCATGGACTCCGAAAGCTCACGAGAACACGGGTTAGCTCAGCCCGCCCTCCCTCCAAGGCCTTTCTGCAGCCCTGCAGACACACACGTGCGCCCGTGTATGCACAGCGAGCAGAGGGATGTCCGAGGCCCATCAGGTGGGGCGCCAGGGAGGGCGTTCCGGTTCCCCCTCCCATGCCGCCCGCCTCCCCCCGTCCCCCAGGCAGCAGCTGTCGGAGGAGGAGCTGGAGCGGCTGGAGGAGGCATGCGACATGGCCCTGGAGCTGAACGCCTCCAAGCACCGCATCTACGAGTACGTGGAGTCCCGCATGTCCTTCATCGCCCCCAACCTCTCCATCATCATCGGGGCCTCCACCGCAGCCAAGATCATGGGTGAGGCAGGCACGCCCCATGGGGTGGGCGGGTGGGCTGACCTGCCGTGCGTGCATGCGTAGTGAAGTCCCCAGGTGGGGCAAACACTCAAGTGCTTGGCTGGTAACTGCAAGGTCGGTGGTTCAACCCCACCAGCTTCTCCCTGGGAGGAAGAGGAGGTGGTCTGTTCCCTTCAAGTATCTGAGACCCTCAGAAGCCATTCTCCCCCACCCCTGTGGGGCCCCAGGAATGCATAAAGGAGACTGGAAGAAGTGACTGTTGGCAAAGAATATCGAACCCCAAATGTGAGAGGCAGAGAGGTCTGAGCTGTGCCCCTCGGGGCCCCTGGCCTTCTTCTCCCTGTCCTGCTGCAGGCGTGGCTGGGGGCCTGACCAACCTCTCCAAGATGCCCGCCTGCAACATCATGCTGCTTGGAGCTCAGCGCAGGACGCTCTCGGGCTTCTCGTCCACTTCGGTGCTGCCCCACACGGGCTACATCTACCACAGTGACATCGTGCAGTCCCTGCCCCCGGTGAGGCCCCAGCCGCGCTGCCCGAAGCAGCCCGCTCTGCCCGGGCCGTGTCTTAGTTGCACGCCCTTACTGTTAGGTGTTGCCAAATTGGTTCTGACTCGGCAGAACAGCACAGTGTCAGTCCCGCTAGACCCCGAGTCAGTCCGTCTCATTGGAGGGGGGGGGCTGGCCTCTTGTTCGTTGCTCTCCTACTTCCTCCAAGAAGCAAGTCCTACTCCAGGGACCAGTTCTTCCTGAGAATACCTTCCCACAACCTGGGACCAGTAAGCCTGGTCTGTCGTTTCTTCAGTTTGAATTTTTTCCACGTCCTGCCCCTCCCCAGAGCCCCCTGGGATCTCTTTCAGAGCTTTGGGCACTGGTCATGGGGCACCATCTGGTTCCCCCAGCCTCTGAGTGCAAACGGAAATCCTTTATTATGCATTGCTGCAAAGTACAGCACCCTCCTGCCCTTATTGTCAGGATGGTGTGCACTGAAGGAGCCCTGCACCCAGCAGACCCTGATGTTTGTGGCATTGTCCCTCCCTGAGGGTCTCCCTCCCTGAGTGTGCCCCCTCACCTGGCTGTCCCAAGCTAGATCAGGCACAGGGTGGCTACAAGCAAGGGTCCTGGTCCTGGGGGCAGACTGGCTGCTGGGGAAGGAATCTGGCCCTGTAGCTGACCAGGGGGCCATTGCCTGAGCAAATGCTATCCCTAACTCTCCTGGAACGAGGAAGAGGGACCCCCAAGGCTGTAGCCACCTGGGGACAGATTTGGCTCTGAAAGCTGGAAGTAGCAGTAGTGTAGTTACAACTGGCAGGACGTCCTGGATGTCCTGCCCCCTGCCTGTCCATCTGTCCAGCTGGCCGGCTCACATAGGCCCCGCCTCCCTCTCGCGTTCCTTTCCCCCAGGACCTCCGTCGGAAGGCAGCGCGGCTCGTGGCGGCCAAGTGCACACTAGCAGCGCGAGTGGACAGCTTCCACGAGAGCCCGGAGGGCAAGGTACGCTTGCGTGCTGGGGAGAGGGAGGAGAGGGGCGGGGCGTCTGCAGGCCGGCCTGAAGGCTGCCAACCGGGAGGAGGTCGAGGGTTCCCGCCCTCCAGCATCTCAGACCGCATGGATGAAGGACATAGGTGAACAGAAGTTCATAGTTGCGGGAGGTGGGGGGTGGGGCAGGGTGGCTCGCACCTACCCAGTTCACAGGGAAAACAAGGTTTCAAAGATTTCGATGGGAGGGAAAATGAAGGAGCCCGTTGCGCGCTCGCAGGTGGGCTATGAGCTGAAGGACGAAATCGAGCGCAAGTTCGACAAGTGGCAGGAGCCGCCGCCCGTGAAGCAGGTGAAGCCGCTGCCTGCGCCCCTGGATGGACAGCGCAAGAAGCGAGGTGGCCGCAGGTGCAGCCGGGGGCCTGGGGGGCGGGGCCTGGAGGGGCAGGCAGGCCTTGCAGCTCCTCCCCTGACCCCGAGCTCCGCCCCTTCCTCCCGGTGGTCCACAGGTACCGAAAGATGAAGGAGCGGCTGGGTCTCACGGAGATCCGCAAGCAGGCCAACCGCATGAGCTTCGGAGAGGTGGGCGCCCCCGCCCCGCCAGTACCCTTCGTGTGGGACGCTTAGCTAACGCCACTCATCTCCTGGCCCGCCCCTCCCTGCCTCCCAAGCCCGTCTCTCCCTCTGAGCTGTCCCGGTCACTGTGTGAGACGCACCGAGCCCAGCTAGGAGCCTGATGGTGGCATGGGTTCCGAATTGGGCTGCTAACTGCAAGGTCGGCGGTTTGAAACCCCCAACCGCTCCTGGGGAGAAAGATGAGGCTGTCTGCTCTTCGAAAGGGAGCCTCAGAAACCCACAGGAGCAGTTCTACCCTGTCCTGTGGGTCGCTGTGAGTCGGCAGTGAGCTTTGAGGCAAGTCCGCAGCCCACAGGCGCAGCTGGAAGCTTGTCACCCCGCAGCCTTGAGCCCGGCCCAGGTCCCAGTCATGGCGCCCGCATCCGCAGGGCACGGGCTGCGGGGAGTTCAGGGTTTTGGTGTTCCGGCCTTCGGATTGAGGCAGACCCACCCATGTGCTCACTGACCCTCTTCAGGCCGCCACGTATCATCTGCCTCCCTGGACAGGACCCCCACCACGGTTCACTTGCTGCCTGCCTCCTTTCTGGGGACGGGCTGGTTGTAACTTTATTGTCACTGGGGTGGGAGTTGACAGCACGTGGGTTTTCTGTTCAGCTGTGGCGCCTGGGACTGCGGGGATAAGGGAGAACAGGACTGAGCCCGGCTCATGTAACGGGGTCAGTGTAAACAGGGCCACCCTCGACGGTCACAGAGGGGTCTGCGCCCCAAGCCCGGGGAGGGGCAGCGCCGTAGCCTGACTGCAGGCCCTGCCGCCCCCTGCAGATCGAGGAGGACGCCTACCAGGAGGACCTGGGCTTCAGCCTGGGGCACCTGGGCAAGTCGGGCAGCGGGCGAGTGCGGCAGACGCAGGTGAACGAGGCCACCAAAGCCAGGATCTCCAAGACGCTGCAGGTAACGCAGGGCCGGCCGCACTGCACGCCAGCCAGCACCCCATCCTCCCTGCCCTCCTCAGAATGGGCGGGGCGGAGCCCCCTCGCCCCGCCTGCCTCCCAGGATGGGCAGACCCCATAGGGCAGGCTGGCTAAGGTCCCAGCCCCATCCCCTTCTCCCTGCCACAGCGAACCCTACAGAAGCAGAGCGTGGTGTATGGCGGCAAGTCCACCATCCGGGACCGCTCCTCCGGCACGGCCTCCAGCGTGGCCTTCACGCCACTCCAGGTATGTGCCCGCCCCTGCCCGGGTCAGGCCACGCTCCGTGGGTATGGGCTGCAGCTCTTGTCAGTTAGGTTCCCGGAAGCCCTCCCCCTCCTGCCCTCCTAGACCATCCACCCCGAGCCTTCTGCTTCTGCACTGGGGAAACAGAAGCCCCTGCATGCTGCAGACAGTTAAGCATTCCACTGCCAACCTTCAGGTTGCCGGTTCAAATCCTCCAGCAGCTCCTCGGGGGAGCAATGAGGCTGTGTGCTTCAGCAGAGATTCCCACCCCAGCAAACCCACAGGGGCGGTTCCACTCTGCCCGTGGGGACACTGTGAGCAGGGTGAGCCCACAGCAACGCAGGGTTCTTTCCTTTGGAAAGGCCCGCCTCCAGGCCTGGGTCTGAGCTGCAGGGTGCCCGTGAGAGCCCCCTGGGGCTGCAGTGAGGCCGGCGCCCTGCCGTGTCTACCTGTTGCCCGCCAACTGGAGCCTGGCTGTTCTCAGATGGGGGTAGGGGTGGGTGGGGGAGAATCACCTAAGCCTCCAGCCTACTGACTTAGAATGCCCCACGGTCAGCCAACGGGTAGGGAGGGCAGGGCAGCCCACAGCAACAAGTGAACTACTGTCACACCCCCACAACCCGATAGCCACTTGCTTACACGGGTCTATCAGGCTTTGCTGGGTGGGGCCAAGGGATCACTGCCAAGGCCCCGCCTCCTGTCACTCACCCTTCCTGACCCCCCTTCCTACACACACCCCCCACCCCAGGGCCTGGAGATCGTAAACCCGCAGGCGGCGGAGAAGAAGGTGGCCGAGGCTAACCAGAAGTACTTCTCCAGCATGGCCGAGTTCCTCAAGGTGAAGAGCGAGAAGAGCGGCATCATGTCCACCTGAGGCCCCGCCCCCCGGGGGTCAGGAGAACCCCCCTCCCGGCGTGCCCCGCCCACCGGACTGCAGGGAGCCTTGCGCAGAAGTGCGGCCCCGCCTCCTCGAGTCCAGGTCCCTGCCCGATGTGGGCACAGCTGGTGTTCGTCTTTGCCTTGTATTTGCCCAGCTGGGAAAGGAGATGCATTTGGAAAAAACTTTCATTAAAAGCCTCACCCAGAACCGGTCCTCAGCGAGCGATCGCTTGCCCAGCGCCCAGGGCAGCAGGTGGAGGTATGGGAGCCCCCAGGCTTTGCGGACACCATTTGGGCCTGTGTCTCAGTTTGGGGGCTGGGGGGTGGAGGGCGGTGGGGAGAGGGGCAGCTGTATCCGAAGTTCCACAAGGGGGCGCTGAGCCAACAGGTTTATTCTCGAACAACGTGGAGGCTGCAGTTCAAAAGGCACCAGCTCAGGGGGAAGGCTCTCTCCTTGTCTGCTCTGGGAGAAGGTCCTCGTTTCAACATCTGCGAGCCGAAAATTCCTTGAGAAAAAAAATCTCCATATGCCTTGGCCTCTATTTCCCCCTGGGTCTAGGTCTAGGAGGTTCCCAGCACAGGGACACTGGGGCCCAAAGGGGCACTCTGTCCCCATCTTGTCTCTTGGTGGTACTGAGGTCCCCGTTCCCTCCACCTCCGCTCACTTCTCATTTAAGCACTTGCAAGATAGAAGGGGATGCTTGCCACACCCCCAGGGAAGCACCCCTGATAACCGCTAAGGGATGGGGACCCGAGTAAAGGCTGTTGCATCCCACTCTTACCACTGACTGATCACAGTTGGAGAGACTTAGCCCTTGTATGGCCTTACGGAACTGCTGAGCCACTGGGAATCACGGCCTCCCCAACATGACACAAGGAAGCTTCCAAGAGTTCGAGGGAAAATGGACAGTTGATGGCATCTCCCCCCCACACACACACACAAGAACTGTTTCATGCCCCTTGGTGGGGCACAGCATCCCAGTCAGGTGACATTGGGGCCACCCATGGCCGACACCGGGTCAGGAGCCTGGGCAGAGGGCAGCCAACTGGTGAGCCTGGCTGGTGTGGCTCCCGGGGACAGGTGGCCTCACTCTTCCAAACAATGTGACTTCGCACCCATGCCTCAGGTACTTGTGAGGGCAGCGAGCTTGTGCCCAGGAAGCTCTTGGCTCCTCGTGCACCATTGGGGTCCAGTAACCCAAACCAGAGCCCTCTTCCGGCTTGGTAACAGGAGCAACAGAAAGGATAAAAAAATAAAAAAAAAGAAGCCCTCAGTGAGATGGATTGGCACGGTGCCTGCAACAAGGGGCTCACAGACAGGAGGGCTGCGATCAGACCATGTTCAATCCTGTCGTCTGTGGGGCCACTATGAGTCAAAACTGACTCTGGGCACCTCGTGGGGTTCCAGCCCCCACAATCGAATGGGTCCAAGGGGCGGTTGTGTAATTTAAGGGGTAAAATTAAAGAGACATCAGACAAGATAAAGCATATAAGTGCTCACCTCTAGGACCACCATGACTTCAGGAGCCAAGTCCACATAGAATATATTTCCAATCAAGGCTTATATAGTCTGGGGGGGGAGGCGTGCAAGCCCCCGTAATTATAAGTAACCATATACGTAATAAAGTGGGTTGTACCCTACCCCTAAAGATCCCTGAGTACATTGGAGGAGTAACCTAACACCAGTGCTGGGGCAGGTAAGGGAGAGTGGCTGTCTTCAGAGGCTAGAGAGCAATAACTTGCATCTGCTCCTACAGTTAAAGCTGCAGGCTGCATAGCAATCAGCCACATGCTTGTTAGAGGTAACCTTAAGGTAGCACTACTATGGGAGGATATAGTGGGGAACAGCATTAATTATGAGAATGTGATTAGGACTCATCTCCAACTCACAGGGTGAAGGCCTCCCTCCACCCCAGACACCCAGCCTGCCAGGCTCCTTCAAATATAAGACTAAAAGATTCATCCGTATACACTTCCCGTTCTCGGCTGCCCACAACCTACCAACATACCTGTGGCCCTCTGATGTCAAAGCTGCCTTCCCAGCTCATGGAAGTTCACTGCTCAGCGATCTTGGGGATCTAGAGGATACACTCTCTGTTCTTGACTCTTTTACTAGTAATGAGCTCTCCCCACTCCTGCTTCCGAGGTAGCTCATTTTTTTCTTTACCCAGCGTGATGTCAATCAATGAATCCCATTAACAGACACCAACAACTGAATCCTATCAGGATCTTCCCCACCTTCTCTTATGGCCATCAGGGTGAGGTCCTTTGTGTGTGTGTGTGTGTGTGTGTGTGTGTGTGTGTGTGTGTGTGTGTGTGTGTGTGTGTGTGGTGTTAGTTAGAGACTACAGCTAGAAGAGCCTTGGTAAATAAATTGCTGGCTCTACAGCTTCCCTACTTGACCAAGCATAATGTCTTTTTCCAAAGTACAAGAGCCCAAGTATTCCCATCTTTGCTTCTAAGGAGCACACTGGCTAAACTTCTTCCAAGACAGACTTGTTTGGTATATTGAGTATTCCTCACCAAGACCATAATTCAAATACATAAATTCTCCAGTCTTATTAAATGTCCCGACTTTCACATGCATAGAAGCAACTCAAAATACTGTGACTTGGGTCAGGTACGCCTTAGTCCTCAAAATGCTATCTTTGCCCTTTAACTTGAATAAGTTCTTTTGTGGTAGATGATTCCCGTGCAATATATCATTTGAATTCTTGGCCATGCAAATAAGATGCCTGTAAACCTAATGAGGAGGGGAGATGTGTTCAATTAGGATAACTCTTATACCCTTGCTCTCTTCTGTAATGTAGTGGAAATTCTCGCCCCGGTGCAGGTAATTACCATCCCATTTTGGCAGGAGTTCTCTGTTCTGCCCCAGGAGATGCAAAGTATGTGGAGTCTCCAGCTTACTAGAGGGTGTGAACCAAGCCACCATCCTTTGTTAACATGGGGCTATGGTCTGCTGCAAGGTGAAAACCACCATCCAAGCTCTTCCTGTGTAATCCAGAGCTGTCTCAGGAGCAGGAAGAGGGCTCGAGCTCAGGGAAAAAATGGAAAGCTCTCAAAATAGAATTATGAATAATTCTCTTTAAAACTTTCCGAGTTAAGTGAAAGTTTACACATCACTGTTCAACATTCAACAACTCATGCCCATTCTGAGTGGAGGCCTCTATTGCAATCAAGTCCCTCTACCATTGCTTATCCCACTTCCTCCCCGTTTTCCTGTTTCCATTGGAGTTTTTTTTTTTTTTAAGCCACTGTCCTCAAGCTGATTCTGACTACAGGCCAGAGTAGAACGGCCCCCTTTGGGTTTCGCTCCTGTAAAGATCTATGGGGACCCACTGCCTCATCTTTCTTGTTGCGTTTAAAACAGACCCGGCAGCAGCCCAAAGTTTAGCCCACTGCATCACCAGGGCTCTTTAAATCACTGTGGTGATTCAGGTACCACTGAATCGGTTTAGATTCCTAAGTGACCCCCTCGTACAAGAAGGCAGCACTGCCCCCAATGATTCGCAATCATTGCTATATTGGAATCCACTGTTGCGGGCTGCCCCCTGTCAAGCCATGAACTTGAAGGTCTTCCTCTTTGTCCTGGACCCTTCCCCCACTGTTTTAGCTAGGATCTCTTTCTTCTGATAACATGTCCAAAGAACGTGAGCCGAAGTGCGGCCATCCTCCCCTTCTAAGGACATTCTGCCTATATTTCCACCAAGATCCTTCGCTGCTGGTGTCCTTCCACGGTACCGTCCACGTTCTTCACCCACACCTCAATTCCAGTGCCTAAACGGTTAGACGTGACAAAAGACAAATCCTAATGGACAGGATTCGAATGAGCACACAGCAAGAAGTCTTTGGGGAGGTTTTCCCGGGCGGCGAGATGAGAAGGTGAGAAGGCGATAACGAGATCGGTACAGCGGAATCTAATCTGTGCCTCTTCCGTCTCAGGACTCAGAACGTTGGTGGAAACGGTGGGCCCGGCGGTGGCGTCGCCAGTCGGGGGCGGGGCTAAGACTGCACGCCTCGCGCTTCCCAAGCATCATTGCCCTGTGATTGCCAGTGTCTGGGGCGCTGCCTCCTGCTTCCCTTCATTTAGCAAATACTGAGTCTCAAAGGCATGCCAAAGACAGGTACCTGGAGAAGGACCATGGAGCTGGGTGACAGGGGCAAGCCTACTCGGCTGAGGCAGAAAAGAAACGGAAAGATGCATACCTGCCCAAACCTGCCTACTACACCTTCTTTCACACGCTTTAGGAGCAGGTACCGCCCACTCGGTACGGTATTGGTTAAACGGGATGAGTGATAACAGTGCGGCCCAATTAATGGAAAGGGGAGGGTGTTCCTAGCAGTCTCCTCCCCCCTTGGCCCAACGGTGGTTTTGATTGGCAGATGACCTCAGCCCGGCCCCCGCTTTGAAGGCACCTGTCTGTCTCCCATTAGGTACGCGGCCTTTAACGCCCACTCGCCATGCCTTCCTCTGATTTCCCCGCCCACCTCCAACAGCAGCCAATGACTTGAGGGAAGAATATTTTCTCGTAACCAATTCAAAACGCTTCTAAACTTGACGGACGACTTCCCGCCCCTGATCAGCTTAGCCCCGCCCCCAAACCAATTGGATCGGGAAAGGGGGGCGGATGCACCCAATCAGCACCGCACGGACTTCTTGATTGACGTTCGAGGCCTCGCGCTGGCGTGTTGTGCCCTGAGGCGGGAGGAGGAGGCGGGGCGGAGGAGAAACCCGGAGCCAATCCATGCAGCTTGCGCGGGAGGCCAATCGAACGCCGCGCCCTGGGGACGATTGCCCAATTGCTGAGAGGGGGCCGGCCGTATCCCCGCCAAGAACCAATAGAGAGCCTCACAAGGGCCAGAGCGACGTACAGCGGGATCAATGATAGGCCTATATTGGGAGCTCGGGGGCGGGTCGGCGCCAGAGACGAGAAGAGAGGAGGGGAGGCCTCCTCCGCCGCCGCCATCTTGAACCGGGCCCGGTCAGCTTCCGCGGAGCCATCGGCAGACGCCGCGGCCTCCCTTGAGTCCCGACCCCGTCGTCAGACAACCCCGGGCCCACTCCCCCCATCCCACTTCCGCTTCGCGCCGCTATCGCGTTAGCGCCCGGGTCCGGGGCGCGAGAAAAAGGCGGCGGGCGCTCGCCTCCCCCGCCTGTCGCGATACGCTCCTCAGCGGCGGCGCCAGTTCCTGTGGTGAGAGCGTCGGGCTCGACTGGGCCGGACCCCTTCTTCCCCTCCTCTCCCCCGCCGCCATCGCCCGCCGTCCCCGCGCCTTCCCGCCCTGCCGGCCGAGAGCGCCGCCTGTCGCGACATGGCTCCCCGCCCCCTCAGGAGGCGTCGGCGGCCCCTCGGGGTGCGGAGCCCCGGACCCCTAACCTTGCCGTTCCCTGTGGCGGGGGACTGGGGAGGGAGCGCCCCCTCCTCGCCAGCCCCGGCTGCTTGTGGAGGGAAGGCAGTGCCGGCCCCTCGGCCTCGGAGCCTCCTCGGGGGTCGCCGACGGGACGAGTCCTCTACGTGGGGCCCCCTCCCTCCCGCGGCCCTCCCACTTGGAATATAAGCCACCTCCCTGGACGAAGTGGGGGGCCTCCTCCGTCTCAGGCAGGGGTCCTCGTTGGCAATTGGAGCAGTCATCTCCCACCCCACCTCCCGGACTTCCCTCTTGCCCACCAAGTGCCCAGCGCGTGCGCGGCCCGTCCTGAGCAAGCCCCCGAAGAACTGGGGGTACGCGTCCCTGAGCGACTTCTGGAGACTCAAGGTGTCTCACTGATGGTTCAGAGTCTGCTCCCTCAGTGCCGTCTGGGGATGGTCACCTCCAATCCAGAGGGTCTGCCTGCTTCTGCCCCCACCCCCACCCCGAATGCAGACCCCTCTGTTGGGAGGGGGGGCTCCGTTGTCTGTCTTCAGTGTCCCCCTTAGCAATGGTGCAGTCTCTTGTGGTCACTTCCCGCCCATCCCACTGGAGTTGGTCCAGGTTTGGGGCGATGGTTTTTGGTAAAAGTTAGGGAGGAGGGGTCTATCCCCCACCCCCAGGTGGAGGAGCTGGGGAGTCAGGCCTGTCTTCTGCACACTGGGATCACTGGGCTCCCCGTTTGGGTTTTGGACCCCCAGCGGCCTGCCTCAATGTGAACAGGCTCTCTGAGGATGCTGCCTACACCTCCGTATTGCGGTTGGGGGACTCCTTAAACACCCCTCTGCCCCTTCTGGCTCAGACACCTGGGCCTGTCTGGGTACAACCTCCCACTATTCCAATTTGTTGGGGTGGTAGGGCAGGTGTCCTGACTGCCAAGTTCAGGGGCCTCACCTCTCCCCTTGTGGTACTGGGCTTATGATGCTGCCTCCCCTTACAGGCTCTACACCCCCTGGGTCACGGGGTTTGCCCTCCACTCCCATAGCAGCCCCTTTGGGATGTGACTTCTCAGGCAGGATGAGCAGTCACTCCCTCCCTGTGGATCTGTGGGACACCCAGCTGCCAGAGAGGGGCCCAGGGCTCCTCAGATCTGGGGTATCAATGTCAGGGTGCAGGCTTCCTTACTGTTTGACCTGCTGCTTTTTCTTCCAAGCAAGAAACCCACTTTTGCATTGCTCTCTGTGTGGGTGAGGGTCCTGCCAGACCCTGCTCTAGCCCACTCCTGGATGCTAGTGTCCCCACCTTTGTGTGAGGGCTCCTCCACCCCCTGCCCCAGGCTGATGCTCCTGATACCTGCTGTGGTTGCCCTGTGGGCCAAGGTGGGTAGGCCATGGCACGGGGACAGAACCCACTGTCCTTTCCTTCTCTGGGATCAGGGAGATGCTGGTGAAGCTAGTCCTCAGCCTCAGGAAGGGTCCTCCCAGTCCTGCCTGGGAAGAGCTGCTCCCCTCTGCTCAGGCACCCCACTGTGTGGGCAATGACCACTCCCCAACCACCTGGGTTCCTCTCAGGATTAAGCCTTTTACTGCCCTGGACTACATGTCATCTCCTTGGGATGGTATTTTAAAGGTCTGTCTGCCTTGATTTAAGGAGCCCTGGTGGTGCCTTAGGTTAAGTAGGCAGGCTGCCAACTGACAGGTTGGTGGTTTGAGCCTGCTGTTTGAAGATAGGGGCTCCCTGTGGGGCCATTCTGCCCTTGTCCTGTGGGGTCCCTAGCAGAGGGCTGGGTGTTTTTCTGATCTGGTTTTGGCCCCTCATCACCCCCTGACCCCCTCTTGGTGAAATCGCCTCCTGGCTGAGGGTCTGTGTGTGCAGCCTTCACTGGAAGCGAGCTAGCTCCGGCCCACGCCTCAGAAAGGCTCCCGCCTCAGTGAGCTGCTGGAGGATGGAGGCCAGGGTTCTCCTTCCACCTGGTTCTGTGCTGTGTGTGGAGGGCCCTGTCCAAGGGACAGGCACCCGCTCACTTTGGGGGTGCTGCCGCCACACTCTGAGGAGGTGACACCCTGCCCTCAGAGGGGGCCACCATGTCCCACGTCAGTGACCCTGGAGAGCTTGCTATCCAAGCCCAAGCTGCTGCCCTCACTGATGATGTTGGACTTTTCTCTCCGCCTTGGACCCCTCTGTGGGAGAGGACTCACCCCTCCCCTGAATGACCGGTGGTTCAGGAACCACTAGTCGCTCACTCCTCAGGAGAAAGACGGGGGCAGCTCTACCCTGCCCTGTAAGGTCAGAACTGACTGGCCAACAAGCGTTTGATTTAGGGGTTCTTGACTGTAGGGACTGGGGTGTGAAGGCTTTGCCTGGCGGCTGTAAACTCGCCAGGCAGATTCTCCTGCAGCCCCAGCCCGGCCTCCACTCTGGGCTCCTGTGGGCGCCCCCACAGCCATACACAGGATGAGGCCTTTCTGTACACGGGAGCTAGATTCACTTTGGGGTCCGATTCTTGAGCACTTGGGGTCTGATTCTGAGTGGGCACCACCTCTGGAGCGCCCTGCCCCGGGGCTCCCCTATGTGCCCCCCTGGTGTGAGTGTCAGGGCTGCAGTGTGGCCTGGCCTGGGCTTCAGTCATCAGTCTCCTCCTAGGAGTGGGCCTCAGGGCTGAGTCCTGCTCTGGTGCAGGCTGCGTGGCACTCCGAGGCCCTGCCTGTCTGTCAGGTGGTTGTGGCTAGACAGCTGCAGGGCCTTGGACCCTGCTGTCCCCCTTCCTGGAGCAGGTGTTTTCCTTGTCAGGCTGGGATGGGGCCCCACCGGGGGGTCATGGAGGCACTTTTCTGAGGCAGTATAAGCTCCGGAACCTAATGTAAGGGGCCCTGGTGGCACCTTGACTAAACAAAAGGCTGCTGACCGAATGGTTGATGGTTCGAGCCCACCAGCCACTTTGTGGGAAAAAGACGAGGCTGTCTGCTTCTGGAAGGCTGACAGCCTGGCAACCCAGAGGCTCACTTGGTCCTGTGGGTCTGAACCCACAACAGTGTGTTTGCTTTTCACTAGGGGAACGTTTCAGGTGCCAGCACCACCCAGTGGCACCTGCCTCCTTTTCCACCCTGGGCTCAGTGACTTGAAATCAAAGCTCAGCCCTGTGGGTATGCTGACCACATTGGTAGCCCTGAGCAGCCACAAGTGGGTGGGGCACCATTGTCATCAGGGAGAGCTCTGTTGGGGCTGGCCGGGATGGGCCTCCCCAGGGAACCCCACCTGATCTGTGGTGGGAACCTGGTGGGATGACTCGCTGTGCCAGGGTTCCCTGTGTCACTGGGCTCCTCAGCCGTCAGTCTCCTCCTGGGGGTCGGCCTCGGGGCTGAGGGGTCCCGCTCGGGTGCAGGCTGTGAGGCACTCCGAGGCCCTGCCTGTCTAGGTGGCCTTGGCTCCTCAGCCGCAGGCGCCTTCCCTCTGCATGCACACTGGCTCCTGCTCGTCTCAGGACTGGTCTTCAGTCACCTCTCCCAGAGCCCAATTCTGAGCTCCGTCCCCTGTGCACCATCAACTGTGTACATCGGGACGGTCTCCTGCCCTGCACTAACCTTGTGAGTTAGTGTCACCTCTGGGGAAGGAGACCCCCTTCTGGGCCAGAGGGCTGTGGCTGCTATCATTTGTTCAGGGTCACCCGTGCCTGGACACAGAAGTGCCCACCCCCCACCCCACAGGTTCAGGTCAAGGCAGGTCGGCATGGGCCTGGTCTTGGCATGCTCCTGTTCCCAACCCCCTCCCTCGTCCATGTTTCCTGGGTTGGCCTGGCCAGGAGTGACTGTGTGTCTGTCCCCTGTCTCCCCAGCAGCGTCCGTCCCCAAGAGAGTATGAAGAGAGTGCGTCTGTAGGGCAGGGAAGATGGCGGACAAGCGCAAACTCCAAGGTACTGGGCGGCGCGCTGCCTGCGGACCCCCGTGCACCCACTGGCCTGGCTGACAGAGCTCTCAACGGCCTTTCCCTCCTCTGACCAGGTGAGATTGATCGCTGCCTCAAGAAGGTGTCCGAGGGCGTGGAGCAGTTTGAGGATATTTGGCAGAAGGTACAGAGGCCGGGTCTCCAGGGAGGAGTGTGTGGAGGGGCAGAGGGGCAGGGCCTCTGGGTGTTGGCCAGGGGCAGAGGCTGCCTGTCCAGGCACCCGAGGGGTCCCGCGGAGGAGGGTGGTGGGCACCAGGATGGCCATCACCATGCTGATGCCTGTGTTCTTTGCTCCCTCAGCTCCACAATGCGGCCAACGCGAACCAGAAAGAAAAGTATGAGGCTGACCTAAAGAAGGAGATTAAGAAGCTACAAGTGAGGAGGGTCTGGGTGGGCCAGAAGTCTGTCTCGAGGGCGGAGGGGACCGTGGGAGCCAGCGACGGTGTCTCCAGAGAGACAAGCTGGTCCCGGGCACCTGACGCTCCCTCTGCTCCCCTCCGCAGCGGCTGAGGGACCAGATCAAGACCTGGGTAGCGTCCAACGAGATCAAGGACAAGAGGCAGCTCATAGACAACCGCAAGCTCATTGAAACGGTGGGTGCCTGGGGCACCCAGGAAGGTCCCCACCGCCCACCCTGTCAGCACCTCTCTCACCCCTGCCTTCCCACAGCAAATGGAACGGTTCAAAGTGGTGGAGCGAGAGACCAAAACCAAAGCCTACAGCAAGGAGGGCCTGGGCCTGGCGCAGAAGGTGGACCCAGCGCAGAAGGAGAAGGAGGAGGTTGGCCAGTGGCTCACGGTGAGGGGCTGGGCTGGGGGGTGGGAGGGGAAGGGAACCTTCCTCCCTGCCCCAGGATCTCTGGGTGCTGCTGCTGCCCCCTTACTCTGTGTGTGTGTGTGTGTGTGTGTGTGTGTGTTTCCCCACAGAACACCATCGACACCCTGAACATGCAGGTGGACCAGTTTGAGAGTGAGGTGGAGTCACTGTCGGTGCAGACGCGCAAGAAGAAGGGGGACAAGGATGTGAGTGGGGGGAGCCCAGCACCCGGTGGACCAAAAGGGATGGGCTAGTGGACCTCAGGTGCAGCCTGGGCACCTGTGTGGGCAGCGGGGCTTTCAAGAAGGAGCAGTGGGAGAGGTGCCAGGTGAGGAAATGCGTGGCCTGAGGCTGTGGCCGCAAGACCTGAAGGAGGGGGGGAGGGCAGCGACTTCAGACAAGGCGGCCACCAGAGCTCCGGTGTGGCCCGAGGAAAGGAGGCTGGGCCTGGATTCCAGCAATCAGGCTAGGCCCTATGTTGTCCAAGAAATGGGTGGGTGGGGGGGTGCCTTGGGAATGCTGTTGAGCCACTAGTTAGGGCTCTGTTCGTGGCTCTGATTCCGTGAAGACAAGCCAGCAGCTCCTCTGCTGGGTCCCTTCTGACTAATGGCCACAGCACATAGGGTCTGCAGCAGGGACTCCATAGACCTTCCTGTTAACTGCCTGCTGCTTTAGCCACTGCACCACCAGGCCCCTGGGCAGAGGGTTTGGGATTGGTGGACTCACCCATCCCAGTCCCAAGGCACCTGTGATGGCGCTTTGCATAGGGCAGGGGCGGGTGTAGCTGGAGAAGGGATGAGGCAGCCAGCTGGGGACGCAGAGGGCTGTGTGGGGGCTGGCACCTGGATCTCAGGGCCTGCAGAGGGGCTGGGGACTGAGGACAGGTTCTGTGGGGCAGTGGCGGGCTGCCCCTGAGCCTGGCCCTGGGCTCGCCAGCAGAAGCAGGACCGGATCGAGGGCCTGAAGCGGCACATCGAGAAGCACCGCTACCACGTGCGCATGCTGGAGACAATCCTGCGCATGCTGGACAACGACTCCATCCTGGTGGACGCCATCCGCAAGATCAAGGACGACGTGGAGTACTACGTGGACTCCTCCCAGTACCCTGACTTCGAGGAGAATGAGTTCCTTTATGACGACCTGGACCTCGAGGACATTCGTGAGGCCAAGGGGTGCCCAGACTGGGGGCACGGGGTCAGGGTGGGGGCTCAGGACACCGGAGCCCACTGAGCCCGCCCTCCCCCCACTGCCCCACAGCGCAGGCGCTGGTCGCCACCTCCCCCCCCAGCCACAGCCACATGGAGGACGAGGTCTTCAACCAGTCCAGCAGCACACCCACGTCCACCACCTCCAGCTCACCCATCCCACCCAGCCCCGCCAACTGCACCACGGTGAGGGCGCAGAGCAGGACCCGACCCGGGGGCTCTCTGCAGAGGGCCAGCCAGTGGGCCTGAGCTCAGCCAGCGCCTGACTCTGCCTCCCTCCCAGGAGAACTCCGAGGACGACAAGAAGAGGGGCCGATCGACGGACAGCGAGGTCAGCCAGGTGGGTGGGAGCCTGGCCTGGGAGCAGGCCAGGCAGCACGGTCAGGTGGACAGCAGTGTGAGGCTGGCACTCTGGGCGGGCTGGGGGTGTGGGTGGGAACTTGAGTCATCAGGCCAAGGATCGGGGCTCTGTGGATGACGTCGGGCAAGGCTGCGGGCGGTGGTTGGGGACACCGGGTGGCTTTTTCCCAAGAGTTTCTTGGGAACTTCTCTGGGCCTGTGCTAGGCTAGTGAGGGGCAGGCCGTGGGCAGCAGTGGCCGTGCACAGCAGCTCAGCCGACACCTGGCCCAGCATGGCTCTGCATTGACCCAGCCCAGGGTGTCTGGGGAGGGGTGAAGGGGTGGCAGAGCGTCTGTGTCCCTAGCTTAGCATGTGTGCCGCTTAGAGTCCGGACGATGGACCGTTGCAGGGCCTTCGTCGCCACTCTATCCTCGGCTGTTCCCTGAGGACAGACGGATCTGGGAGTGGATAGGAGCAGGCTTGGGGGGCAGGTGTGTGGGAGACCTTCCCTGTGCCCCTGACCCTGTCCTCCTGACCCTCTCCTCTCTCCCACCCGCAGTCTCCCGCCAAAAACGGCTCCAAGCCCGCCCACGGCAACCAGCATGCTCAGTCCGCGGCTGTGCCGCCCAGCTACCCCTCAGGCCCTGCACCAGCCACCTCTGCCCTGAGTGCCACCCCCGGCAACAACGGGGCGCCCACCCCAGCAGCACCCCCGAGTGCCCTGGGCCCCAAGGCCAGCCCGGCCCCCAGCCACAACTCAGGCACCCCCGCCCCCTATGCTCAGGCCGTGGCCCCACCAGCTCCCAGTGGGCCCACCTCAGCCCAGCCCCGGCCCCCCAGCGCCCAGGCTGGCGGCGGGGGCGGCAGCAGCAACAACAGCGGGGGCAACACCGGCAAGCAGAATGGGGCGTCCAGTTACAGCTCTGTGGTGGCCGACAGCCCAGCAGAGGCTGCCCTGAGCAGTGGCGGGAGCAGCAACACCAGCAGCCAGGCTCTGGGCCCGCCAGCCGGCCCCCACAATCAACCTCCCGGCACATCGTGAGTGGTTCCTCCTACCCCCACCCATGCCTGCTGCCCACCCCAGCTCTGCCTTCCACAGAGAGGTTGTCCCCAAGGTCCCCACACACACATACTGGTCTCCAACGTGTTCTAGGGGGTCTTCAGCAGGGCTTCCCAAGGCTGGCCTGATTTCCCCCCAGTCCCTCCTCTGAGCACAAACACACACACTCCTACCTCTGCCTTCTCTTCAGGAAGGAACCCAGCTCGGCAGCTCCAGCCGGGGCTGGAGGCGTGGCCCCCGGCTCAGCGAGCACCACCGGGGGACCCAGCCTCCTGGTGCCATTGCCTGTGAACCCCCCCAGCTCCCCAACACCCAGCTTCAGCGAGGCCAAGGCCACAGGGACCTTGCTCAACGGGCCCCCGCAGTTCAGCAGTGCCCCAGAGATCAAGGTGAGCTGGCTGCTCTGGCCCCAGGCCCCTGCAGTTCTCTCCTCCAAATCCATCTGTCTCTCCTGAGACCCCAGACCACCCATTCACCATGCTGCCTCAGCTGGGGCTTGTGGTAGGTCCCTCTGGGCCAGGGTAGCAGCTTCCAGGGTGTGGGGTAGGGGGCGGGTCAAGGAGGACGGATGGCACCCAGGACTAAGTGGCCAGGAGCTGGGCTGGTGCTCGGCTCAGCAAAGGGAGGGGAAGTGGGGATGGGCATTGGGTCTTCCTACGGCCAGTGCTCTCTGGACACCGTGTGTACCGGCTCTGCTGGCAACGTGGGTCACTAGTGCTTGGCTGCTTGGGTGAGAGGGTCACTTGCCCCGTAGCTGTGAGGACAGTGGAGGCGGCTGTGCTTTGGAGGGGAGAGAAGGGACTGGGGCCCCAGCAAGGAAGGGCTGCTCACAGAGGGATTGGCAGATGGCCGCCTTGACTCAGGGCTGGGTGGTCTGGCTTGACTCCTGGCAGGGGTCTGGTTGGACTGGCAGCTGTTGTCTGAGCCACAAGGCAGAGCATTGGAGCTGTTCAGGGGCTTGGGGTATGCTGGCTGGGTGTGATCCTCTTCTGCCTCCACTCCTGCTCCCGGACTTGCCTCCGGGTCTGTGGTCCTACACCAGAAGGGAAGCCTGGGTGGTGCCTCAGTCTCGCCCCTTGCCCCACAGGCCCCCGAGCCTCTGAGCTCCCTCAAGTCCATGGCAGAGCGGGCGGCCATCAGCTCCGGCATCGGGGACCCTGTGCCAACGCTGCACCTGACAGAGAGAGGTGAGGCTGTAGCAGGTGAGGGGCAGGCAGCGGGAAGCAGGACATCGGGGCCCAAGGCCTGACTGCACCCTTCTCCGCAGACATCATCCTGAGCAGCACGTCCGCCCCGCCTGTCTCGGCGGTGCCGCCCCTGCAGCTGTCAGAGGTGAACATCCCGCTGTCGCTGGGTGTGTGTCCCCTGGGGCCTGTGCCCCTCACCAAGGAGCAGCTCTACCAGCAGGCCATGGAGGAGGCCGCCTGGCACCACATGCCCCACCCATCCGACTCCGAGCGGATCCGGTGAGGGCCCGGCCTCCCCCAAGCCACCCTTGACCTGGGAGGTGGAGCTGGGGCCCTGGGGTGCGGTGGACCTTGACACACACACCCCTGTGGCCCTGCAGGCAGTACCTCCCCCGGAACCCCTGCCCGACGCCCCCCTACCACCACCAGATGCCCCCGCCGCACTCTGACACGGTGGAGTTCTACCAGCGCCTGTCCACAGAAACGCTCTTCTTCATCTTCTACTATTTGGAAGTACGGCCTTTCCCCTCCTCCCCCCTGCTGCACCATGTGCACCCTGTCCCCATGGCCAGCCAGGCCGAGCTCTAAGGGTCAGGGTCAGAGAGCCAGCCACACCTCCGTGGCCAAGGACTCCCTTAGCTCCCTTAGGGGACCCACTCGAGCCAGCGAGTGGCAGTTGTCACCCCACCATCACGTAGATGACCTGAGCTCAGCTCCCGCTATTTGCTGCCCATCTGAACACAGTTCCATCCTGGGCAATGGGGGCTCTGTGCCCCAGCACCCCGCGGACGGCCCATCTTCCCCCTCCCCCCAGGGCACGAAGGCGCAGTACTTGGCCGCCAAGGCCCTGAAGAAGCAGTCGTGGCGGTTCCACACCAAGTACATGATGTGGTTCCAGCGGCACGAGGAGCCCAAGACTATTACGGACGAGTTCGAGCAGGTGGGAGGCCCCGGTGTAACGCCCCCAATGCCCCCACACAGTGGAGCGTGCTCTCATGCTGTGAACTGTGAACACGGGTTGGCACCTCATTTCCACCTGTGTCTCTGGTGCCCACTCCCGCTCCCCACTAGTTCCTTCCCAAACCGGCTCACCACTGGGGGAAGGGGCTAATCCATGTGGAGGAGCCCACCCTTCCTGGGGTGGCCCCATGGTCACTGAGAGCAGCCCCGGCCCTGGCCTGCAGGATTCCAAGGTCGCCTGAACCTCCAGCTTTCCTTCTCACCAGTGAGGGGGCCACACTGAGCGCCGCCTCCTCCCCTCCCCCGCAGGGCACCTATATCTATTTCGACTACGAAAAGTGGGGCCAGCGTAAGAAGGAGGGCTTCACCTTCGAGTACCGCTACCTGGAGGACCGGGACCTCCAGTGACACCGGCCGGCCCCTGCCCGCCCCTCCCCGCATGCTGACCCCTGCCCTGGAAGACTGGGGGTGCCCTCTCCCACGGGGCAGCCCCTTCCCCCAGGAAGCAGGGAGGGGCCAGGTGGTCTTCTCATCCCCCTCAGCCCCGCCCTGGTGCCCGGGGGCGGGGCTGCCCCTTCTCCCCTCCCCAGTGAGGGACATTTTTTGGTAAACCTATTTTCATTTTGGAAAATATTTATGAATAAATAGTTTTATATGATGCTGGCAGCAGCGGCCTCTCCTGTTCCCCTTGGGAGTCTCAGATGGCTGGGGGGGTGGGCTGTGACCCAGGGTGGGGCTGTGTGCCCCTGGGTCCTTTATGCAGTAGAACCTCCTGTCGGTGGAGGAGAGGTGGGAGGTGGCCTGGCCAAGGGCTTCATCCTGAGTCGGGAGCCTCCACCGGGGTCAGCGGGGAGGTTGGGAGTCCTGGTGGCGGGGGCGCCGGGCCAGCTGCGGGTTGAACTGGGAGTTGTAGCCCCGTCGTCGCTCGTCCATCTCCTCTGTGTCCTCCGGGGGCTGTCCGCCCCGGACCCGGGCCAGCAAGACCTCCGCCCGGGCCCTTTCAACTGCTTCCCGCTTGAGGCGTTCTGCTCGCAGCTGCTCCAGGGTCGGGGACCTGCGGGGAAACATCGTCAGGCCAGAGATCTTCTCAGGGGACTCCTTGCCAGCTACTGCCCGCTGGGAGGAGCCTGGCGATCTAGTTGGGGCCAGGTCTGGGCCCCCTCCCCCTAAGAAGAGGCCTTTGTTTCTTGCTCACCCACTGGGCCGCAGCTTCTCTGCCGGCACCTCCCTCCTGCTGGGGTCGCTGTGCTTCCGCTTCTTCCCCAAGTGCCTCTGCATCTCCTGCAGGGGGTCCAGGCGGCCCTTGACCTTCTCGTCAGGGCCGGGCCCCGCTGGGGGTGCCCCTCGGCTGGGGGGCAGCTGGTACCACGGGGGCTGTGTCTGTGCCTCAGCTGCACTCTGGCCCAGGTAGGTCAAGATGCCCAGCGCCTTCTCTTGCCTCTCCTGGGGGACCAGACACGAGTGTGGGCGCTCAAGGGTCAAGGCTCGGCCTCCGCCCGTTCCCACCCTGTGGCCCCTGCTTCACTGATGGGAAGGAGGGAACCCCCAAAGCAAGGGGTGCATGGGTTTCCTCGTGCTTGCTCTCATCTGCCCTTGACACCACCCGAGTGAACAAGTGCCCGCGCCTTACCCTGCTTCCTGGGCGCACAGCCCCTGGTGAGGGGCCCTTTGGGGCTGGAGGCAGAGCAGTAGCAAAGGCAGGTGCCAGGTGGGCCGGGACCCCCGAGCGGGTTTACATGTTAATAAGATCTCAACCAGGGTGGGGGCGTGGGGTGCAGGCTGAGACACTGGGAGCGATGGCTTCCCAGCAGGGTCTTGGAAGCTGGAGCACTGGGACGAGGGAGGCACCCTTAGGGTGGGGACCCTGGTCCGGTGTGCTGCCATTGGGTCCCCAACCCAAGAGCCAACCCAGGCTGTCTGTGACCAGGAGGGGCAGGGCAGATGGACGGGAGCCCCACGTCCCTGGGCAGCAGTAACAAATATACCGCACCCCTCCCTCAACGGGGCAGCCGTGTGCTCACAGCGAGCGCATGTAGGTGCAGGGCCGAACTGCCCCAAGGGCTCTCCATGGCCAGCAGGCCGCCAGGCCTTTCTAGCGGTGTCTCTGGGTGGGCGGGGCCAACGACTAACCTGCTCAGAGCGGAGCACATGGACCGTGGGGGCGGGGCCTCTCCCCACGAAGCCAGCCTGGAAGTCCTCGTCCTCCGCACTTCCTACACAAGTCCCAGTGCCCCTGTCCACCCCCCACGTCTGTGCAGCCAAGAGATGCTCCCTGGGGCAGGCAGGCGGCCACGCCCATCTCAGCTGCACGTGGTTTGGCAGGGTTCAAATGCCCACCCTTCAGTGAGGGCCGGGCCCGAGGGTCCTGGGGCCCCACTCGGAAGCCTCTGGCAGCGAGCTGCACTGGAGACAGTACACCCTGGAGGGTTTTCAAGCCTGTAGTCTCGGGAAGTGGGCCTCTCCCCAGGAGCCTCTGGGTGGGCTGCAGCTGTTGAGCTCTTGCCTGGTGGTGGAGCGCCTGGACGGCAGGGGCCCACACACTCCTGTCCAGTAGCCCTGCCCAGCCCTCCCCTAGCCCCTGTTCACCTTCTCCTGTCGCTTTTCCTCCTCGTACTCTTTGTTGCCTTGGCTAGCCCCCTTCCCTTCCTCCAGCAGCTCGCGAAACAGGTCCACGGGGCCAGCTCGCGGCTCCCCGGCTTCCAGCGCTGGCGGAGCGTCCTGGTGCCCACGTGCTTTCTTTCGCAGGAACTCAGTGCGGGCCTGGAGGGGGATGGCACAGGTGGTGCAGGCAGAACCTCCAGGGATCCAAGGCTGGACTTTGCAGCCCTGGGAGCTCCCAGTGACCCCACCTAGCCTGGTCATTGAGGTTGACTGGGAGGGGTCCCTGGCCTACACCAGCGGGTGCCTGTGATCAAGGGGGTAAAAAATTACAGCAATGCAGGTGCCCGTTGGAGATCTCTAGTTCAGCTTCATAACCACCCCTATTCAAACCTGGGATCACAGACCGATGGGGCTGAGGGAAGACATCCACTCTGAACTGAAGGCAGGAGCCAGAAACAAGGCTTCATGTTCTGGCTGACGGAATACAGGTTGAGATGTTTCAACACGTGGGCGCAGCTTTGGAAGATAGCTACTTGGCCAATCAATGGGAAGAAAGCCATATTTGTACCTACTTCAAACAGAATGCTGGAAAGTATCGAACTAGAGCATTAATGTTGGGCCCACAAAGAGTTTTGCTGACAAGAACTTAAAAACTCGGGGGTACATGTACAAGGGACTGACTGCCAGGAATTCAAGCCGAATTCAAAAGAGAAAGCAGAATGAGGGATATCACTGCTGCCAACGTCAGAAGGATCTTGGCTAAGAGCAGAGAAGGCCAGAAAGATGTTTGCTTGGGTTTTATTGACTTTGCAAAGGCATGGGACCGTGTGGATTATAACAAACTACGGATAAGCTTGAGAAGAAGAATGAGAATTCCAAAACACTTCATTGTGCTCATGTGGAACCAAGAGGCAGACCTTTAGATAGAACAAGAAGAAGCTGTGTGATTTGGAACAAGGAAAGTTGTCTGGCATGGCTGTATCCTTTTACCACACTTAATTCACTCTATCGGAGAAAGAGGAGGATGCTTTCTCCTCCTGTAAAGACTTGCAGTCTTGAGAACCCACAGGGGCAGTTCTGTCCTATATGGTGGCTCAGAGTTGGCACATCTACTCTATGGCAGTGAGTGTGACTGGTTTATACAAATACGCTGGGCAGACATCCCATAAAAAGACCAATGCATCATTGTGTGCTCACCTCCATGATAGATCGCTGAAGACAAATGGGTGCATAAGCAAATGTGGAGAAGAAAGCTGATGGTGCCCGGCTATCAAAAGGTATAGCGTCTGGGGTCTTAAAGGCTTGAAGGTAAACAAGCAGCCATCTAGCTCAGAAGCAACAAAGCCCACATGGAAGAAGCACACCAGCCTGTGCGATCACAAGGTGTCGAAGGGATCAGGTATAAGGCATCATCAGAACAAAAAATCTTACCACAATGAAGGATGGGAGGAGTGTGGAGTGGAGACCCAAAGCCCATTTGTAGGCCACTGGAGATCCCCCTGCAGAGGGGTCTCGGGGAGGAGACAAGCCAGTCAGGGTGTGATGTAGCAACGATGAAAAATACAACTTTCCTCTAGTTCCTAAATGCTTCCTCTCCCCACCCCCACCCCCCCACTATCATGATCCCAATTCTACCTTGCAAGTCTGGCTAGACCAGAGGTTGTACACTGGTACAGATAGGAACTGGAAACACAGGGAATCCAGGGCGGGTGATCCCTTCAGGACCAGTGGTGTGAGCAGTGATTCTGGGAAGGTAGAGGGTAAGTGGGTTGGAAAGAGGGAACCGATTACAAGGATCTATATGTGACCTCCTCCCTGGGGGACAGACAACAGAAAAGTGGGTGAAGGGAGCCGTCGGACAGAGCAAGATATGACAAATTAATAATTTATAAATTATCAAGGGCTCATGAGGGAGGGAGGGGAAAAATGAGGACCTGATGCCGGGGGCTTAAGTGGAGAGCAAATGTTTTGAGAATGATGAGGGCAATGAATGTACAAATGTGCTTTACACAATTGATGTATGTATGGATTGTGATAAGAGTTCTATGAGCCCTTAATAAAACGATTAAAAAAAAACACCAATGCTGCACTAGGACTGAAGGAAGGCTCACTATATGCAAATGACACAACCTTGCTTGCTGAAATCTAAGACTTGGAAGCACTTGACGAAAATCAGGGATGACAGCCTCTCGTAGGGGCAGTAACCTCAAGGGAGTGAAAACACAACCCCTCACACTGGACCGATGAACACCGTGATGAAGAGAGGGAATTCTGAAGTGGTCAGGGGGGTTCACTTTACTTGGATCCACAATCAACGCCCACCGAAACGGCCTGCAAGAGACCAAATTCATCCGATTTGCACTGGGCAAATCATGCGGCAAAAGACCTCTTTAAAATGTTCAAAAACCAACCATGGCCCTCCCCGTGAAGGCTAAGAAGGATGCACCCCGCTCAAACGTTGGGGTTTTCAATCACCTCACAGGCACTGGACAACTGGGCAATAAACAAGGGCGGCCGAAGAAGAAATGATGCCTGTACCTCCTGGGGATGGCAAGTGGTAAGGGAATGTCCTGGGGCCTGGCAGGAGCAAGTCTGTCTTGGAAAAAGCGCGGCTGAAATGCTCCTCAGAAAGGAGCATGGCAGAACTGCGTCTCACGTCCCTTGGACATGTCAGGAGAGACCAGTCCCTGGAGAAGGACCGCATGCGTGGTGGAGAATCAGTCCGTGACCCTGAATGAAGTGGACTGACAGTGGCTGCCACAGGGGGTTCAAGGGCAGCGGCAATTGTGAGGCTGGGGCAAGACAGTGGTGGGCAGGGGTTTGTGTGTTTCGTGTCCAGAGTGCCACTCGGAGTCAGAGCCAACGCCAGGGCACCTAACAACCATCTTTAAGGAAGCAGGCTGCCAAGTCCTTCCTTCTACATCGCAGTCAAAGGTGGAACCAACTTAGCGGCTAGCAGCCGAGTGCAGACTTCCCAGCTAGGGACGGACCTCACTAGAGAGCGCTGTTGCAATGAGTCTGGCTGACAATGGCTGTGTGAAGGGGTAGAACTGCCTCCTGGGGTGTTCTAAGCTGCAATTCTCTACGGAAACGTCCCTAAGTCCCCAGATCGGCCAGGAGTCCTTATCCAAACCCAACCCACTTCCATGGATCCAGTTCACACCCACAGCGATCCTCGTAAGACAGAAGAGGGCTGCCCCGAGTCTGTACAGTTTTTAAAAGCGAACCCCTTCCCCTCGCGGACTGACTGGTGGGGTTGAATCGCCAACCTGCAGGGTGAGCGCCCATCGCTTCACCCGCGGCGCCACCAGGGCATTTATCGTGGAGGCTTGCGGGCGGGCGAAGGAAGAGGTGATGTTTCTCCGACCACGCAAGGGCTCACTGCATTCACTCAGTGCACGTTTATTAAGCTCCTCCCCTCCGCCCTGCCCTGGTGACTTGGAACACCCAGGGGGTCAGGAGAGGGTCGCAGGGGAAGCGTGCCGCTCTGCCGACACTGGTGGACCCGCACCGCGGCCTCACTGCGCCTGCGCGTCGCGCACGTCCAGGCTGGGCCCCGCGCACACGCGCACTTGGTCCCCGGAACTGCTCCCGCGCGGCCTGGCTCTTACCTCTTGCTGAGCGAGCAGCGCCCTCCGCTCCCGCTCCTTCTCCTCCTCCCGGGCCTGAGCCTCGTCGCGCCGCACGCGGGCCACATTGTCCTTGTTCCGGACGTGCCAGCTCTTCTTGGGCAAGATATTCATGGCTCCGTCACCGTCGTCGGGCTGTCACACCCGTCAGCTACCACTTACGATTGGCGAGAGGATGCTCCCGCCCTGTTGCCCCCGCCTCGGCCGCGGATTAGTCCCCGGCCGATGGCACGCCCCTCGAGGCCGGTTGAGACGGGTGATTGGCTGAGCCGGTTTCCGTGAGACGATTTCGAATTCCTGACGCTAGGTGTCTGGTAGCGCCTAGCAACCGCCTTGGATCGGGCTTAAGAGTCAATCACAAGAGGTCCCGCCCTCAACACTGCCGAGACGGCCACCCATTGGCTACCACACTTGCCCAGTAATCCTGCGGAACTGTTCAGGATGTCACAAATTTGGGACAGTAGATGGTAGGATGAAGGATGAAGGCTTGCCCCCGGTTTCAGGGAACCCACTGTCACCCCTTAAATTCCGACTCATAGTGAACCTATAGAACAGTGTAGAATTGCCTCATGGGGTTTCCATGGCTTTTAATTTTTTCTAAACTTTTTATTGTGAACTATGGGAAAATTTTCAATTAATTCATACACATCCTGATTCAACTCATCCATTGCAGCCCCTCAATCCCACTTCCTCCCTGTGTCCCTGTTTCCACTCCTCCTCTTTTCCCAACCCTACGTTGTCCTTAGGTAAATGCTGCCTTTTGATAAAAAATAGTTGATTATGGAGTTCCACCAGTTTCTTTTATTTATTTATTTTTAGTTCTACCAGTTTTTACCAGCCCAGTAAGCCTGGTCTCTTACGATTTTGAGTTCCGTTCTACGTTTTCCTCCAATCTATTCTGTCAAGACTCGAAATCCTTACAGAAACGGACTGCCACCTCTCTCCTTCAGGGGAGTAGCCGGTGCTTTTGAATCGTCAGTCTCTCCATTAGCAAGCAGCTGAGCGCTTTTAACCACCGTGCCAGCAGCAGCCTCCGATCCAATGACATTTATTGATAAAAGGAAATCTTCACGTGAGAGTCAAGCTGGAAAGCTGCGAACCTCAGGATGGAAGCCCGGAGCGTCCTGGCCAAGACTCCCAATTTTATAGTTGGGAAGAATATCGAAGGCCTACAAAGGGCCTGGCCCCAAGCCTGGGACGGGGCTGGAAGGTGAGGGTGGTCTTTTCATGGTGAGCCCACACGGCAGGTCATAGGCCACCCGGGGCCGAACTCAGGGCCACAGCTCTCTGCGCCAGGAAGACTTTATTCCTAGACTCCTGGGGTGAAAAGAGGGGAGGAGGTGAGACAGCCTCCCGAGCCTTAGCCACGCCCTTCTCGTCAGCCACGCCCCCACCAGTTCTGGTGCCTCACCGTCTCCACCTGCTTCTGGAGTTCAGATATGAGGCGCCCATAGGAGTTGGCCAGGGCCACAGTATAGGCCATCAGGATGCTGCGGGGGAGGGAAGCAGAAATCGCACACCACAGTTTTAGAATGACTGCGCCCGCCATCTAGAGCTCTCGATGCCAAGAGCCCAGACCCCAAGGCCCCTCCTTGCTCAGACCCAGGAGTCCTCACCCCTGCCCCTACTCCCTGAGACCCAAGAGTTTTGACGCCCAGCTTCTCCTCCCTGAGAAAAGGAGTCTCCTAGGCCCCAGCCCCTCCTCCTTCAGACCCAGGACCTTAAGCTACCTCCACCACCACCCCGCCTCCCCCTGGGTCTAAGACAGGGATGACGCAGGCCCCGGCCCTCACCTGGAGAGGAGCAGAAGCGGCACGGCAAAAGCCTGTGAGCCCAGGAAGAAGAGGACGCTCTGAGCGGCCTGAGGGAGGCTGAGAATGGACTCAGGGATCCGGGACCAGATGGACGGCTCTTCCCGGAAGGGACCACACAACTTGGAAGGCGGGATCCTAAAGCCAGAGGCCAGTGGGCTCCAGTGGGGCCGGAAGCCAGGCGGGCTGACTGGGGCGGGTGGGAGCAGGGGGGGCGGCTCTCCCACTTACAGGAAGATGCTGTACAGGACCGGAATGGCGGAGATGGCCAGGCCCAGCAGGAGCACCAGGGGGAAAAAGAAATTCACCGTGGAGGCCCGGAAGGTGCGAGAGGCCGGGGAGCAGGTGGAGAAGAGGGTGAACTGGGGAGGCAAGGGGAGTAGGAGGTCTGAGACCCAGGACTTCTGCCCCTAGCCTCCTCCCTCACATCAGGAGTCCTGACCCCAGCTCTTCCAGGACCTAAGAGCAATGTCCCTCCTCCAAGCTCCCAACACCTCGCCCCGGCCACCTCATCTTTCCCAGGCTCACCTTTTTCAGGTAGAAGAGCAGCAGGAACTTGGCCGTGTTGAGCAGGGGCAGTATGGGGCTGAAAAAACTGCCCACCCAGACCACCGTCTGCGCGTAGATCAGCCCCAGCACCTCATCCGGCACCTGGAACTCCTGGGTCCCCAAGAAGCGCCCCAGCGCCCCCGGACAGTGACCACAGAGCAGCCTGAGAGGCGGAGCCCGGCCGATCAGGGGCGTGTCGGCCCAGGGTTTCCCCAACCTCCCATGACCCGCCCACCAATCGGAAGGGAGCATATACAAAAAGGGGCGGAGCTTTCAGTGTTGCAGGAGGGCTTGAAGGAGCATATAAGGGGCGGGGCCTGAGGCGAAGGCGGGCCTGCGTTAGGGGTGGAGTTAGTAGGAGGCGGGACCACCACGGAGCCATTGGGGGCGTGGCCAGTGAAAACAGCGGGGTCTATCGTTTGGGGGCAGGGCCTCCTCAAAAGCCAGGGCTCTCACTTTCGAGGAAACTGGATGAGCAGCATGACTGCCAAGCCGGTGAACAGATCGAAAATCAGGAGTTTGTACATCTCCTGTCCCAGCCGGGTCTCCCAGCACTGAACAGGGAGGACAGCGTCAGAAAGGCCTGAGGATCCAGGCATACACCCCCAAAGCCCAACCCCACCGCCATCGAGTCAATTCTCACACTCGACGACAGAGCAGACCGCCTCCTAGGGCTGCCTAGACTCAGTCTGTATGGAAGCTGACAGCCTCGTCTTTCTCTCCCGAGCCGCAGGTGGTTTGAACCGCCACCCTTGCGGATAACACCCACGCTCAGCCCAGAGCGTCACCAGGAAGGACCCAGGCATATGCATATCCAAATCAGAACATTTCTCTCCAGGTCTCACTCAGCGCTTCCTTCCTTCCTGCGGGGACCCAGGACTTCGAGTCCCAGGCTCCTTCTGCTTTTCTACCAGGACTCCCCCAGACCGGGAGTCACGCTCCAGCGGTTCTCAACCTGTCGGTCGCGACCCTTTTGGGGGTCGAACGACCCTTTCACAGCGGTCGCCCGGTTCATCACAGCAGCAAAATCACACTGATGAAGTAGCAACGAAAATAATTTTATGGTTGGGGGGGTCACCACAACAAGAGGAACTGTATTAAAGGGTCGCGGCATTAGGAAGGTCTACGCCCTCAAACCCCAGCCCCTCCTGACCTCTACCCCTCGCCCCCCAGACAGGGGGTCCTGACTCCAGCCCCTCATCCCTCAGATCAGGGGTCCTGACCCTCTCAACCTCTCTTCCCTCAGACCAGGAGTCTTGGCCCCAAGCCCCTGCCCAGGAATCCAAGTCCCCAGCCCCTCCTCCTCCGACCCTAGAATCCGGACCCCCACCACCCCAACCCCTCCTCTCGCTGACCCGGGAGTCCGGCAGGCCGCCCTCTCACCGGAAGTTCCTTGTAGTTGTAGCCACAGGCTTTGCAGTCGGGAGCCTCCGCGTTGCCCTCGCACGTGATCTGTTTCCAGAGCGAGAAGAGCAGCACCAGCAGCGAGGCGAGGCGCAGGAACACGGTCCTGCGGGGGGCGGGAGGGGGCACGGAGGCAGCGGATTGGGACGGACACAGGGCCGGCCTCGGGCCAGGACCCTCCCGCGGCGGGGGTCGGGGTGGCGGGGAGGCAGCAGATCCCGATCCCCGTCCCCTGAGCGAGAAGAAAGTGGGGCTCGATGACAGTCTCGCCGAGTCCAGCCCTCCCTGGACCCCAGGTTCCCACGGCTGCCTTCTCTCCGTCTCGGAACCCACCGCCCTCTGACCAGCGCCTCCCACCTGCCGGCCCCGCCCCCAGCCCCGGCCCGGGAGGCTGGCACCTGAGCAGGATGAAAATGACCTGTCGGCTCCGAGTGTAGCCCTCGAGCGGGGCCAGGAGCTTGAAGACGGGGGGCAGCACGAAGTTGACCCCGGAGATGAAGACGGACGGGAGGTAGTTCACGCCGAGTTTGAGGAGAGCCGTCTGCTGGACGAAGGGCTCCTCCTGCGAAGAAGTCGGAAGGCGCGGATCTGGGGTTCTGGAGAGACCCCGGTATGCTGCAAGCCCTCCTATCCCCGCGTTGGGCCCAGCCCTATCTGTGTCCCCCCACGTCTCCTGGACGCCGGCCCCCTCCTCACGTGGCCACCCAGGATGCAAGCCCTCCTATCCCCGCTTTGGGCCCAGCCCTATCTGTGTCCCCCCCACGTCTCCTGGACGCTGGCCCCCTCCTCACGTGGCCACCCAGGAACACGTCCCCGAAGGCCATTCGCACCTGCAGCTGCACGGACGTCTCCATAGCCCAGTAGACTCCGTAGAACGCCGCCCCCAGGAGCCCGATCACCAGCAAATTGAGGAGGCCTCGCACCAGCCACACCCTGGCCTCCTGACCGAGGGTCCGCCCCGTGGCCCGGCGCCGCACCGCGGCCTCCTCCAGCTCCACCTGAGGCCACAGGAGACTTCTTACCCTTCGTCGCCACTCCCTCAACCCCACCCCCAGCTTCCAGCCACACCTGGCACTTGGTTGGGCACGCCCCACCCACCGCCAGGCCACGCCCCTCCGTCCACCCTGCCGGGCCGACCCGCCTGGGCTTCAAATAGACGGCCGGCACAGTTCAAAACCGCCAGCCGCTCAGCGGGAGAAAGACCAGGCTTTCTACTCCTGTGAAGAGTTACAGTCTGGGAAACCCACAGGGGCGGTTCTACCCCGCCCCATAGGGTCTCCGAAGTGTGTAAATGTGTAGGGGAGCAGACAGCTTCATCTAAAATAAAGCGGCGGATGAGTGTGAACTGCTGGTTTGGGGATTAGCAGCCCAACTCAACCCACTGCGCCACCAGGGCTCCTTCCCGGAGTCCCAGTCCTGCATTATGTCCCTGGCCCCTGCTCAATGCTCTAGCCCCGCCCTATCAGCCCCGCCCTGCACTTCAAGCTGGGCTGGAGCTCCCAAATCAAAGCCCAAACTCGCTCTCCTCTGGTCCAGCCCGACTCCTAGTGACCATACACTACAGGGCCGGACGACCTCTGTGGGTTTCTGGGACTGTAACTCTTTAAAGGAGTAGGAAACCTCCGAGCAGCCGGTGGCTTCGAACTGCTGACCTTGTAGTTAACTGCTGGAGAGCTAGTCAATTTTATCAATTAGTTTTCCTAGCCCTGGGCACCACCAAACCACCCCTCGTAAAACCTTTTGTTTTCCTAGCCTTACCTGCCACACAAGCCTTGCCCCTTCTTCAAAGCCTGCCTAGAATTCCAAATCTACTGATCTCCTAGCTCCATCCACAAGCCGGGCCACACCTTCACCAGCCACATCCTGAAACTAGGCCACGCCCACAAAATGGCACGAGGCTCCTTTGGGCCCCACCCCTCTATTCCCTTTCCTGAGTCCCCTGCTCCTTCACGTGTCTGAGGTTTGGGATGAAAGTGTCCCCATCATCTCACTTGCAGCCCCGCCCATTTGCCTTGGTCTAGCCCCGCCCACCAGCCATAGACTCCGCCCCCAGGCGCACCTGCAGCTCGAAGAGGATGGTGCCCTGGCGCAGGCGCACGTGGACGTCCCCGCAGAGGCCGAAGTCCCAGGCAGAGAACACGCGGTGGCTGTAGCTGGTCAGAGTCCCGGATTCGGCCAACAGCGTCTGCTTCATCCCGGACACCGAACTGAGAGGAGGGGCGCCGGGAGGGGGAGAGGCAGAGTGTGGGAGAACAGTCACAGGCGCCCCCTCACGTGGAGCACCCTGGGAAAATGAGCCCTGCGCCCTGGTGGCGCAAGGGTTAAGCACCAGATGCTAACTCAAAGACAGGCATTTGGGGCCCGGCTCTACCGA